AGGGGAGGGGAGGGCGTGAGGAGCGTCGCCCCCGTTAAGGAAGAATGTAGATCCAAAAATGGCGACGCCGACGTTATTATCGTCGGAGCCGGTGTCGCCGGCTCCGCTCTTGCTCATACTCTTGGCAAGGTAAATTTCCTTGTCTTTTGTATTCTTCTCTTATCGATGTCCTGAATATTCTCGGCAGCCAAGCAAGTGCAGGCTTTTTTTGTTTATTATTTTTGTTTTTGTTCACTTGAAATTACAGAACGTTTTGGCCTTGTGAAAGGAACAAAACAAAGAAAGCGCTCTAGTAATTGTTATTTTATTTCATTTCTCAAGAAAGCTTATAGTAATCGATTGGTGTAGCCTTTTATTTTCTTCTGCTTATACTTGCAGAAATTATTTTGTGAACAATACGAAAAGCTTGATTTGGCAACTTTGGGGACGGCCATTTCATCTGTTAAAAACCAAGAAGCAGAATTCAGATTAAAAAAAAAATAAAAGCGTTCATTTTACCGATTTAATTTTAAAATTTGAGTTTTGTTATAGTAAAAAGTTCTCAGAAATAATCACATTTAATTTTTTTACTACAGTAAAAAATTCTCACATAAAATCACATCTTAATTCAAATTAAAAACTCAAATGAGTAAACTAAACAGGTCCCTAAAAAAGTAGAAGCAAAACTTTTATTTTTTTCCCCTCCCACTAGTGGACTTGAAAAATTATTTGGTTATTTAGGCTCATTTAGTTCGCGAGTTTTTAATTGAGTTTAGATAATTTTAAGTGAGAACTTATAAAAAAATTAAATATAATTATTTTTGAGAATATTTTATTGTAATAAAATTTACATTTTGAATTTAAATCGGTGAAATGAACAAAACTTTAATTGTGCCGATTGTGTTTTGTACTATTAGGCTAGGTGAGCTTGATGAGAATCTTGTACAGAATTTATGTGGGAAGGTCGCAGGTGATTTACGATCTCAATGATATGGTGTAAAAATTGTTATAAAAGTACAACAACTTTTGGTTCGGATAAGGTGGTTGATTGTTGACGTTGTCATAGATATCACACGCATTTATTATAATAATTTTATACATCAGCGACATGAATGGAACACCATACCAAGGACCACTACTGAGTACCTCGTTGTTTTTTGATCATATATTTATTTTTCAAAATTTCTTGCGGTTTGAATCCGTACGAAAATAATTTTTCTGGAATGAAAACATAGAATAGGAAATGATTTATGTCTATTTATTTACATGTCATTTACACGGACTAGGATAACAGAGTTTCTACTTTTTAAGTTATCTGTAAATTGTTTGAAAATTTCAGTGGGGACTAACTGATATAAATCAACTAAGTGGAAGTATCTTTGACTTTTTGGTGCCAATTTGCAATCTTTTATTTCACAGCTTGAGTTGTTGATACTTGTTAATGTTTTTACTTTGTTCTCACCCCGCCCTATTTAAGACCTGGTTCTGGGGCTTGAGTAGGATGAAACTAGCACCTGATCGGTTTATACATGTCGCTAGAAATAGATTCGTCATACACGAAAGAGTCTAACAATACTTTGGCTTCCAATATCTGCCAAGTTATTTATTAAGATTAAAAAACTTCTTATCCTCTATCTACTTTTGTAAACTGGATGGTAACGTAATTTATCCAACTCATTGATAAACTATGGCATCTTTAGTTACTCCTTGTCTTTTTCTGAATTTATGCTATCATATTATGGTTTATCCATGAATTTGTGTCAAGATTATGTTTTGAATTCTCAAATGGCAAAGTTTATTGTCTACCCTTCATGCTAAATATGGTCCAGTTTTATTTAGCCTCTTTCACGTTTAGGGACAAATGAATTCATGTTAATAGATTGCAAACTGATTCTGGATCTAAAAAGTGCAGGATGGACGCCGAGTGCATGTGATTGAAAGAGACTTGGCAGAGCCAGACAGAATTGTTGGTGAACTACTTCAACCTGGGGGGTATCTTAAATTGATTGAGTTGGGACTTCAAGGTGGGTTATCTCAGGTGACGAGGACTATTTATTTTATGTTCGTTGCTTGTCTCTTAAAATGATAGAGATATCATTAAACGGAAACCTGGTTATATCTGACTGCAGATTGTGTGGAGGAAATTGATTCTCAACGGGTGTATGGATATGCTCTTTTCAAGGACGGAAAGGATACTCGTCTCTCCTATCCCTTGGAGAAATTTCACTCCGATGTGTCTGGAAGGAGCTTTCACAATGGACGCTTCATTCAAAGGATGCGTGAGAAGGCAGCTTCTCTTCCAAAGTATTATATTTTTTTCCCATTTTTCATATTAATGTTGTTTTATCTTCTCCATCATATATGCTTTTTATTTGTCAACTTCTTGACTTGTAAACAAGAATAATTCTCACTTTTGAAGTATACTTATCTAAGTAATGCATTTTTGTCTTCTAACCATAATGCCTTTTTTCTTTCAACTTCCTTCAGTGTACAACTCGAACAAGGAACAGTTACGTCTCTGCTTGAAGAAAATGGAACAATCAAAGGGGTGCAGTACAAAACCAAGACTGGACAAGAACTAACAGCATATGCACCTCTGACCATTGTCTGTGATGGATGTTTCTCAAACTTGCGCCGGTCCCTTTGCATTCCTAAGGTGAGTTGCCTCTCAATCTTGTTGGTTACAAAATTTGTGTGTACCTAAAGTCTATTTTATGGATAAATTATGTCTTCTTATTTATTATAGTGTTAACAATTTTACTCCATAAGAAACAAGTACTTGAAAATCTAAAAATCTCTTCTCTATATGTATCTGCAGGTAGATGTGCCATCTTGTTTTGTTGGTTTGGTCCTGGAAAACTGCAACCTTCCTTATGCAAATCATGGGCATGTTGTATTAGCAGATCCTTCTCCAATTTTGTTCTACCCGATTAGTAGTACAGAAGTTCGCTGTCTGGTTGATGTTCCTGGACAGAAGGTTCCTTCCATTTCAAATGGTGAAATGGCAAAGTACTTGAAGACTGTGGTGGCTCCTCAGGTATATAGATTCTGTATTCACAAATTTTTTTTTGTGACCCCCTATCTATCATTGAAACTCTTTGCCATATAATTAATTAAAGTGCCTTGGACTGAAAATGTGACATTATCTTGCAGATTCCCCCTCAAATATATGATTCCTTTGTAGCAGCAGTTGACAAGGGTAACATAAGGACAATGCCAAACCGAAGCATGCCTGCTGCTCCTCATCCTACCCCTGGTGCCCTGTTAATGGGTGATGCATTCAACATGCGCCACCCTCTAACTGGGGGAGGGATGACTGTGGCTTTGTCTGATATTGTTGTGCTGCGGGATCTTCTCAAACCCTTACGCGACCTAAATGATTCGGTTACTCTCTGCAAGTACCTTGAATCTTTTTACACTTTGCGTAAGGTAAGCTCAATTAACATGCTATTAAATACAACATAACTGAAATAGTGTAGATTCATGTAGTTTCCATTCATGTTAAATACACGTTAGTGAACTCAGTATCCTTTTATACTTCGGTTTGCAGCCGGTAGCATCCACCATAAACACATTGGCTGGCGCACTGTACAAGGTCTTTTGTGCTTCACCAGATCAAGCAAGGAAGGAAATGCGTGAAGCTTGCTTTGACTATTTAAGTCTTGGAGGCGTATTCTCAGAAGGACCAGTGTCTCTACTCTCAGGACTGAACCCTCGTCCATTGAGCTTGGTTTGCCATTTCTTTGCTGTCGCAATATACGGTGTTGGTCGACTATTGCTTCCATTTCCATCTCCAAAACGCCTCTGGATCGGAGCTAGATTGATTTCGGTGAGTGTAACCTACTCTGATTCTTTTCTTAATTTTTCCTGCCTTATACGCAATTGTATAGACTGAGAAATTTCTACTTGAATCCTTAAAAGTTCAAGTGTCAATCTGCAGGGTGCATCAGGAATCATCTTCCCCATTATTAGGGCAGAAGGAGTCAGACAAATGTTCTTTCCAGCAACAATTCCAGCATATTACAGAGCTCCTTGTCCCAAGTGAAAGTTACATTTGACAAAAACCAAAGACAGTAAAATGCAAGCCGCTGTTCTGTCCGAGCTGATTGTAATGGCATGACTCGCTCCCTTGTTCGAAAGGAAGAGAGAAAATAAGGGAGGGGTGAATGCTCCAATTGAAAGATGTGCAGTTGTGAACATTATATGGTTATAGGCCTCTCTCTCAGTCTCTCTTGTGCTCATAACTAGAATGTTGAAAAACTACAAAAAAAAAAAAAAAAATGTATTTATTCATTTGTCTCCTACATTTCTTCCATTAGGTTCCCTAGTTATTGCATATTTTGACAAGCGAAGGTGGTCAGCAATATTCATTAGTTAAAAACTCGTCGAAATCAGGAAAAATGGAATACGACAATAAAAATAAAAAAAAGAAGAAAAATGAAAGGAGTGGTGGTTGCAGGCTTGGCTTTGCGCTTAGCATAGTGGTAAGTTCACCGTTCTCAGTTAAAAAACCAACGGCGTTTATATTGCCAGATAATTAGCCCACTTTGTGGGGACAATAGACTTCCAACGAGCACCATGAATTTTATGGTAAGGCCAAATATGCCTTTCTTTTTTCGTCTCTTTCTTTTTGCCGAAAGATAAGATATGCCAGCTCTTTTCAGCATGAATCCAAGTGTCAACTGGCAACCAAACCAACTTAACCCTGTTAATTTTATTACATATCCATTTCTATGATTCTTAGTAGACCATCAACATTTGTCACTAAGGTCACCATTTATGATGCTTATTTGATCTGTTTGGTCTTTTGTGGGGTTCTGTGATTCGGCCAGGACCACAACCAAAGAGCATTTTATTCCAAGGTCGTGGCCCGAATCCTGCCATCCACAGCGCCACCAGCAAAATGACGCGAATATATCGACACCGACAACATGATGCTAATGAGGTTGAGGATGACAAACTTGATACGACTAGATACGACGCGACATCGCACAAATCTGGTGCAAGGCCATGTTGGGAGGCACGCAGTATGCTAGATCGCAGCTACTGCCAAACTAGTACTTCGTCACCATCTGTAACACCCATGTAATACGACTCTAAGTTAATTACGTAGTCATATTATGTAGTATTTGTTAGGCAATATAAGAATAACCTCTTAATTATAATCCCTTAGTATAAGAAAAAATCTTTTGATTTTAATTAAAACGGTAAATTCTATTTTTTTTTTTTTTTTTTTTTGTGAATTTGGAAAATTTAGGTTGATTTAGAATTGCGGCTGAACTCGGTGAATTTAGCCGAGTTGCCTACATACCCCATTAAGGATCAAGCCACTTGTAGTTTGAATTTTGGGTTTGAAAATTTTGGATAATTCCTCAATTGATGACCTTATGAGGAATTGATGCACTTTAAAATTTGATTTAGTTTTGTTTTGATTTTGTCTATTATGAGGATTTTTATGATCGAATTTGATCTTGAAACTGCACCTAAATTTTAGGTTGCCTACGTATCTAATAGGGAATCAAGTCAATCGTAGCTCTTGAATTTGAATTTTGATTTTAGAGAATTCCCCGATATATGACCATATGAAGAATTCAAAGATGTTTTAAAATTTGATTTGAAATTTTACTTTAGAATTTGTATTTGAAAGTTGTATTTGGATAATTTCCCGGTATATGACCTTATGGAAAATTAAAAGGAACCTTTTTGAATTTGGTGTTGAGATTTGAGATTTAAAAATTGTATTTAATCACCGTATGATTTTATGAGACAATGAGCTCATCTTTTTGAACTAAAGGACGATAAAGGGGCCCAATTTGTGCACTTTAAATATCTGGGTATTTAATATTCCGACTTTCTTTAAAATTTATCTTTTATCCCTTATCTTTTTTTTAATTTTAAATTTCATCATCTTTAAACCGATTGATTCGATTGTATGATGTATATCCCTTATTTTTTGCTAACAATTTAATTTTAAAGGAAACTTGGATTTCCCTCATCCTCATCAGTTCTACACGTTTCTTTTTTTTTATGTATATATATATATATATATATGAACCATTGTAGCTTTTACTAGAGCCGGCAATATGGGTCACAACACGGCGACGAAAACGACACGAATTTTGCGGGTTAGGGTTGAGAAAAAAGAGGTTCGGGTCAGAATTGGGTCGACCTGAAATTGACACGAAAAATACGGGTCAATTTTGGGTTGGACCCGCCTAACCCGAACACGACACGAAACTCGTAAAAAACTAAAAAATACATATATTTTTCATTACATATTTTAAATTTTTTTATGAACTTGTGATATCATGATAGTTATACTCAAAATCTTATACTATTATTTGCTTAATTTCAATGGATGTTATTGTAATTTAGTGTGTTATGAATTTTAAGTTATTTTTAATATGTAAAAAATTAAATAAAAGTATATAATTTTCGTGTCAATTTCAGATTCACGGGTCAATTTTGTGTCACGTGTCATTTTCGAGTTATGTCGTGTCAACTCGTAAAGTGATTGTGTCGTGTTCGTATTGCGGTTTTTAAAAAAATTTGTATCACAGGTCGTGTTCAGATTGACTGTAAATTTTTAAAAAATAATCAAAATACGACACGTGACACGAATTACCACCCCTAACTTTTACACCGCAAACATCACAGCAAGTGCAAACACCACCACAAGTGCAAAGCAAGTCTGGCGACTTTTTGACATATATGTGTGTGTGTGTGTTTACGTGAATGAAGAAGAACATCAATTGCCATCGTATCTTGATTTGCGTGTAGAACTATCAGCCAAAGTACTTGCTCTTTTTTTTTTTTTTTTTTTTTTTTTTTTTTTTTTTTTTGTGTTTTTTGCAGACGTTAAAAAAAAGCGTATATCAGTGTCTTTCCATTCTTTTCTCTCACACATATATATGTATTATGATTCTTTTTTTTTTTGTCATTCTATCTTTTTATTCCTTTTTTTTCTGTTTCTTTTTTTTGCTTTAACAGATCGTCAATTTTGAAGTTTTTATTGCATTCTATCATACAAGCCATCCCCCAATTCCAAGCAAGAAAAAAAAGTAATTGCTTTTTAGCTTTTATCATCGGTCAGTTTTTGTTTTAGTCTTTTGACTAAATTTTTTTTACAGGAAACGGAGACATCTTTTTGTAAGTGATCATCAATTTTTATTTATTTATTTTGGGCTGCACTTCGTAAGTCTAACCCAAAATTGTAATAATATTTTGAATTGTATTATTATAGTCAGATTCATCATATATATACATATCTACATATATGTATATTTTTTAGGCTGCATCATAATGATCAAACCTTTTTTTAGAGGTTTTAATTTTTGCGACCTCATGATTTTGTAGAGTTCTAAAATTTACAACTCTATTTGATTTTTTTAGAGATTCTAAATTTTGCAACCCCATAATTTTGTAGAATTCCAAATTTTGCAACTCTATTTTGATTTTTTTTAGAGGTTCTAAAACTTGTAATCTCATAAGTTTTCTTGACTAGGTTCAAAAGTTTGCAGCCCGTATGTCACAACCCTATAATTTTGTAGAATTCCAAATTTTGCAACTCTATTTTGATTTTTTTTAGAGGTTCTAAAACTTGCAATCTCATAAGTTTTCTTGACTAGGTTCAAAAGTTTGCAGCCCGTATGTCTTAAACATGAATCTGACCAACAATGGCAGATGAACTTCTTGTCTTGAGATGGTATTTCGGTACAGAAGAAGGCTTGAGAGAAAAAATGTGTAGACAATTTAATGTACAAATCATCATAATGAGATTAAAGTAGATGAGTAAATGATAAATTTTTCTACCTCTTTTTTTCCGACAATTCTCTCTACATACACTATCTCACACTTCTCTCACTACTTCCAATACATTCACTTTCTTTGCACAAAGTTTGCTACGTGGGTTTCTAATAGTCTGCCCTCCCATGCCTATATATAGATGTTTGAAGTAAATCCACTACTTTTTTCTGTATTTATTTTTTAAATTAGTCAATCATTTATTTTTATTATTAATCCTCTACTTTTATTTTGATTGGCTATTTTTCAAAATATTTAAATATGATTGGCTGCTTTTATCTCTGAAGGATTACCCCCATTCATGTATAATAGTTTTGTAGATTTCCCCATGTTATTTTTCACCAAATTCCCCGCTAACACATTTTACTTTTTCTTCACGCACCCATTTCTTCCGGGAAGTTTTCCAACCTCCCACGTGACAATTGTAGTTTTTTTTTTTTTTTTTTTTTTTGCTTTAACAATGTTATTTTTAATTTTTTCTCTTAGGTAAATTTTTAGTAAGTTACATGACTTAAGTATTAAATTATAGGTAAATTTAGACTTTTTAAAATCACCTCAAGAGCACTACCATTTTTAACATGTCTCATTAGGATCGCTTGGCTGACAAAATATATACAATATAATACATAATAATGTATCTCAATAGCATGCCAAACTAATAAATCATGTATAGTATGCTGTGAATGGATGCAATGCATTGACCAACTAATATGTGAAAATTTTGGGCATCACACCATCGGCCTTGGTCACCGGCACTACTGAGGGAAAAGGATCCGGGATTTTATTTCATCCTACTAAGTAAGAAAGAAAATTTTAAATTAAAATATTCACTTTATAGAAATATAAATTACAATAATCAGTTATAATAAAAATTTGTTTAGTCAGAGAAAAAAAAAATTTGTTCAGGAGTGATCAGCTTTTTACAATTATTACACTAGATTGATGTACTTTAAAAGTATTTTATAGAGTTCGAACTTTATCTTGACCATTAGGATTATAATTGACTATGGAGTCTTAACCCAAGAATAGAATGCGGTAATTGTTCGTTTTTGAAGTCAATAAATTTTTGGAAACAAGAGAAGTTTTAATAAAATTTAGTATGAATCAAAGAACATAGAAATAAAGTTTAAGGAGGAAATAAATTAAATGGTAACTAGAGTATTAAATAATGAAGTAATTGGCATGATCATGGGAAAAACATTCACGTGGGAGGGGGAGAAATATTTTATATAGTGGCTAGACTTTAAAAAGAAAAAGCATCAAGTAATTGTAATATTAGGTGCGAGCACAAACAAGAAACCAATATTTAAGTGGGAGTAAGCTAACAAAATCAATAGAATACGGACAAATTAAAAGTTAAAAAAAAAAAAAAAAGAAATTAAGCAGGGACACGTCCCACTCCCCAGTATTAGATCGTTGGAAGAGACAAAATGTCATGGCGTTTTACATTGCTCATCCAGCATTAAGTGTGATAATTTTTTTTTTTTCAATTTTAAAAATAAGAAACTATGGCCCTTTAACTGCCCCTTTCTTTTTCTTTTTTTTTGTTGTTGAAGGAAACTGCTCTTTTTTCTTGTACTCTTCTCTTATAATTTGACATTCTTAATTTGATTTTAGAGTGAAAAAAGTCTAATTATAAGAGTAATTAAAGAAATGCATAAATATGCATGTTTTAGTGCTAGAGGGGCGTTAACTTTTGATTCAAAAGTCTTGGTGGATACAATTTTCTCTTTATTTTAGAAAACGCAGACGTAGTAATTATGAAATGAGCGAGCCCGAAAAAAGTTCAATGTCGCTTATCTTTTCTGTTTTTCTTACACTTACAAGTTCTTTGTCGTTTTGAATCCTAAAAAGAGCTTCAACGTCGTTTACGTACAAAAGAGCGCCATTTACCCCAAGAATCGTTGAATGGCGAGCGAAAACAACAGTTCGTATTTCCTTCACAAAACTTTGCTGTCGTCCAAGCAAGAATTAGGAAACACAAGCAATCTATCGGTTTTACTTGAAGCATGTCATTCACCTGTGAAAATTTACCATAACTTGTTTTCTTTAACGGTAATGAGGAAAAGGATACAGCAGAAACAAAAAAGTATGAAATTTACATTAATTATTAGGAATAAAAAAGATATAAATTTAGTACAAAGGACTTTGAAGGTATGGTGGCATGTACTCTTGAGACATTACCTGCCTTTATTTTATGTGTATACACAAAGGTCATCAATTAACCTCCGATATCAACCTAGCATAAGCGCTACCTCTCAAACTCTTCCTCCAAAATAAATACACTGTAATTCTTTCCGATCTACTAAACTCTGAAGAAACTTGGAATTGCTCAACGCAGCGCATCAATATCTGCCTGCTTCAACGTTTAAGAAGAATCCCGAGTTGTGCTGCCCGGTCTCTCTTTCTTTATGGCTTCATAGGAGACCATTACCTCTTTAAATTTGGCCTCAGCAGCCACTGCAACAATTAAGAGGAAACAAAGAAATCAGGAAAAACCGGAACAGAGCAATTGCAGCAGCTTACATGTAGTTCACTAACAGCGTGCAAAGTCCCACCTTTATTGTCTTGGTTCTGATCTGGGTGAAACTCCATTGCCCTGGCCCTAAATGCTGTCTAGAACTCCAAAAATAAAATAGCTTAAGTAATGCAAATATGAAAAAAGAAAATAAAAAACAAAAACAAAAATGAAAACTAGAAAACGAAAAAGAAAGATATCTTAATCTTGGTAGATTGGAGGTCTCTACTAAAATGTAGTTGAACTAAAAGCTAGGATTAATTATCATATGCTCTCCTAAACCTTCACATTAAACCTTAAACCACCCCCTGTATTTGCGATGATCTGGTTTCAGGTCCTCAAGCCAAAGGTAATAAGCTTAGACATGTCAAGTGTCTGGATTGAAATTACAATATCCTACAATATATACGTGAAGAGAAAAGTAACTTTTTCGATGTTATGAAATAATTTGGGTGACAGGTCTCTCTGCTTTCTTTTCCAAAGTTATGGCGATCCCTTTAATGAAGGGATATCAAAAAGTTATTAAGTTATCATGAGTCAAAGTATATTAAAGGGGCAGAGAGATAACATTGACTAAGAGGAGAACCTTAATCTCGGCATCTGTGTAAGGTTTTGTTCTGAACCTGTTGCAGAGAATATAAAAGGGAAAACATTACTTTCGTCAATATGATGTGGTTATATGATAACAGAAGTGCGTGTACAGCAAGATATGTCGTATGAGATACAATCATGTTTTTGACCAATTTTCGAAAGTTTGAATTGCTACGCATACAATAAAATGCGTACAGTTGATTTAGCACACAAGGTGAAAGTAACTTGTTATTTACGTACTCAGCAAACAAAATGAAACAGCTACTTAATACAGCAAAGAAACAGTTGATTTATCACTTGAGTTTACAAATAGAAGTACTTTGTTTTATAGATACGTCGTATCTTAACAGTAACACATTATTTGTCTTTACTTTTATAAATATCTAAAACTTTATACATGCTCATATAAAGACTTGATTGTGTCCAGATATATGCCGTTTGGTTCATAGGTTCCAACACAATTCAAACCTTTTTGCTACAATGTTCTTCTCTCATCAACATTAAATTTCTGTTGAAACCTATATACAAAGGGGCTATTAAGAAACTTTAAATATAAGTAGTACATGAGCAAAACAAGGCAGTTGACATTAATGCCAAATGCAAACATGTCCATATGCAACAGTCCTACCTGTCAAGGCCCAACACTGAGTAGTGATGTGATAATGAATAGCTGGTATTTTCTTTGGGAACTCTGCTGTAGTTAGTCCTTCTGTCTCTGAAGGAAGTATCCGTCTTCCAATACCAATCATCTCGCTGGAAATGTTGATGATCCGCACCATTGCCATTTTCCTTCCAGCTCTCGTAGCCCCTTTTGTATTTGTTCCTCTCTCTATTGAACACGCTTTGCATACGCCGTATTCGTTCCTACAAAGTTCAAGATAATCAATCACATTCTTGAGTTAATCCAGGCATGTTTCCTAATTCCTAAACCTATGCAGTAAAGAATTAGTTGAAACTATAAGGCGCTAAAAATCAAATCAGATTTCACGCATAATACCAATGCAGTTTCAGATGAACTTTTTATCATCTCAAACTTCAAACAATCAACTTTATCAATTTCTAAAAAGAACAACTCTAATGGATCAACTACATAAAAAGCCTCCCAATCCAGATTCTTATTCACTACTTTAATTGATGAAATAGTAAAAACTTATGCATAAAATAGAGTTTAAAAAAACAGAGAGAGAGAGAGAGAGAGAGAGAGAGAGAGAGAGAGAGAGAGAGATTGAAGAATTCTGAAACTTACTACTCTCTCCATTTCTTCTTCGTACTCCTCTTGCATCCGACGGTTGTATCTTCTCCATGCTTCCTCTCGAAAAGACGATTGAAACGATTTCCCAGATCCTCCTTTAAAAGATTGTGTCCTGCTTAACTTTTTGTAATCCCAACAGCAAATTGTAATGATCAGCTTCCATAGCAAATTAGCATATGCAATTCGTTTAAACCACATAAAACGCTAATAAATGAGAAAGTGCGTATTTGTCTTACCTGAGAGTAGAACCAACCAACAGTCCTCCGCAACTGACCGACCTGCCAAACACCAAACAACCATCAAATAAGATAAAACTTACCTTTTTTTTCTTCAATCTTCAATTCAAAAAAAAAAAAAAATGCTTTTTTTTTTTTTTTTTAAATTTTTTTTTTTTTTTTTTCAGCTCAAATAAGGTCCAAACAAAGTTGAATTGCAGAAATATAGGCTATAAACTTACAGCGAAAGTGGTGGCGGTGGCGCCAATTAAACCGAAGAGGAAAATTCCCCAAAGCTTCAACTCCGCCGGCTCCTTCTCTTGGTACGGCCTGTTTGGCGACGGCCACGGATTATCCTTATTCCGATTATCGCTGTTTTCGCTCATCTTCCCCGAGATCGGAACTTCAAAAAGCTCGAATTCAGAGATTACAGTTCGAAGATGCTGCTAATTGGAAATTGAAACCCTAAGAGCATGATTAGGGTTTCTTCTTCGTTTCGCTTTTCCAAAATTTTTTTTTTTTTCGGTTTCTATTCTGATCGATTTTGGAAGAGAAGTGTGAGGCAGCAATTGGGACGGAAGCGTCTCCGGTGTAATCAATCGTTCATAACTTATCTTACGCCGTTAAGCAATGTGTTGATACATGGCAGACGAGTGGATATTGATGCCGTTATATGGATGACAAACGACATTGTTTCGTATATACGTTGGTTTTTCGAACCAAACGTTATGTCGTGTGGTTCTTGTGATGAAATGTCGTTTACAAATTACGACAAAAAGACATCAAATATTGAAATATATTATCTACTCAGAAAACGACATTTCGTAAAATTTAGTAAAGGAAACGACATATCCTTGGTATACCATATCTTTTATTATGATAATGAGTGTCGTTCTATGATGACAAACAACTCATCCTTTTGGAAACTAATGCCGTTTAGCATGTAATGTCGTTTTATATTAATGAAAGAAACGACGCATCGTTTCTAATCCATGAAAGCAAAACGACATACTATATATTTTACAAATATCTTCCCAAAACAAAAAGTCACTTGAATCTAAAAGAAGGAAACGACATATATTTGGTATTCATGTCGTTTACTCCTAAAACGATAGGTGATGGATTTTTTTATTTTTATTTTTATTTTTTTGCTTTAAGGGAACAACATATCTAAGTTGAATTTATTCGGCAAAATTAGATGTCCTTTATTTCTTGTTTTGGACGCAATGGAATCACGATTTGGTCCTGTGAGTGATAAAATGACATGTTGTTCACTATCCATGTCGTTTTATTTTATTTATTTATTTATTTTTAGGGAAATGCGTTTTTAACTAAACGCTATGCTATTTTGCAAAGACTAAATGTCGTTTGGTGCTAATTATAGACAGGAAAGCCTGGAGAGGTCTTTTATTATAGTGTATATAGTAAAGGATATATCATTTATCAATGTCGTTTACTACCGATCTCTTAATACTGTGTGGATATTTGTTGTTGTAACAAGAAGAATGTATCATATAGAGTCATTTGCTTTATAGAAGACAACTCTGACTGTTCTTTTTCTTTTTTTTTTTAATGGATTTTAGGTATGTGTCGTGTATTCATGTACAACCGACATGTTGTTTTATTCTTGAACGCCATGTCGCTCTGTCCTCACGGGAAAACGACCTGTTAATTACTGAGTGGAATACAAACGAAATACGTTCCCAAGGGCATGGGAGCCGTAAACGACATGCCACTAGTGGACCGCTAAATATAAATTCTCAAATTAGAAAAAGGAGAAGAAGAAAAAAAAAAAAAAAAACAACACCCGTTGATGTCACTTACGTCACCACCATCCATGCTCATTTGGGTTCAATTCCCAAAACAGACTTTCTTAACAAAATCGAAAATCCCACTCTCTCTCTCTCTCTCTCTCTCTCTCTCTCTCTCTCTCTCTCTCTCTCTCTCTCTCTCTGTGCAGTCTGCACAGACAAAGTCGGATCTAGCACAAATGTGGGTTCTTTAGCCACCGTTTTCCGGTACGTGATTCTCATATCTTTACTCCAATGTATGCTTTTGATTTATTCCTCAATGTCTCTTTCTTTCTCTTTTTTCCAATACGAATCCGCCTTAAATCACATTCGTTTCAAATCTTGAATCTTTTTTCGCTGAACGACGAGATTCGATTGTAGTTTGAAGCAGCTTCTATACATACATACATACATACATACATATATATATATATATATATATATATGAAATTACGTAGATAAGAGAAGCCATGTCGAGGAGGCCAGTTAATCCGTCTCGGCGACTGGGAGACAGCGGAGGTTCTCTGATCCCAGGCTCGTACCATTCCAAGCAAAAGTCTTCTCCAATCGTCTCCGTCGGCCTCCTTGTCTTCGTGGTATTTTACAAAATCTTCGATTTTCGTTATTAATCAGATTCAAGCATGCTTAATTGCCCAGTTTCTGGTAGTTACGTTCGTCTGTTTTTCTGTTGCATTCCGTTTTTTTTTTTTTTGTGTGTGTTCTAGGGAGCGGTGCTTTTTCTCGCATATTCCTTCAGTAACCGAGGGTACATGTCGTTTTCTTTTCTTTTCTTTTCCCCTTCTTTGTCATGACGAGGATTTAGTGTTAATATAACAGGTGGACATGGGAACATTACAGGGGCTGAGGTAAATATTATTAACTTAGCTTCTTTTATTTGGTTCACCTTTTTATTTTTTTATTTTTTTTGGGAACTTACATCATGTGATCAGGTGTGATGTCTGATTAGCGTGCAACATTTAGTTGGTTTAGCGGTTTTGAAAATTAGTGTGGTATTTTGGATTTGCTAATTTTATTTTTTGTTCAATGCTCAACAATGCGGTTAATGATTCAGTTGTGAGTGATACTTTCTTCCCTGGTCGAGGCCCGAAGGTTTCCTTTGGGAGGATTTACTTGCTACTTACTAGGATAATTAAGTTATCATGCAACTCACAAATGAAGCTGCCTAAGATAGTTGCATTATGCTTTTGTACTTGCATGAAAATGGGAAAGTTGTTAGAAACTAATGTTTGAATTTAACATATTTGAGGGCCCATTTAGTTCGCTGATTCGAGTTTTTAATTTGAGTTTAGACGTGATTTTATATGAAAATTTTTGACTGTAGCAAAAAAATTAGATGTGACTGTTTCTGAGAGCTTTTTACTGTAACAAAACTCGAATTCTAAACTCGAATCGGTGAAATGAATGAGACCTGAATCAAACCATAAACTGGTTTGGTTGTCCTAGAACTTACTATTATCAGATTAAAACTAGGTTGCGAATAAAGAGCTTTTATTGAGCAAATGTGCTTTTTTCTTCCTCCTTTTTAAGTATATCTCTTTAAAGTTTCACCCAACTCAAAAAAATGATTTATCAATCAATTAAAAAAAACTCCACGGCCAATCTTATGTATCTTTTTCATTTCACCATTGCTGCTGTAACAAACAAAACTTGAACAAGTTTAAAAATGGTTCTTAGATAAATGCAAATTGCCATGAAGTCCTACTTGATTGAAGATCCTTAATGGCCCCTGCTTTTAAGTTTACTCCATTCATTTGTTGAGCGACAGAGCTTTGGGGGCAAAGAATTATCGGTAAAAAAGCACAAATGAAACCAACATAATGAAGGAAAAGTAAAAGCCCAAATACAAGAAAAAGCACAAACGAACGGTTTCAAAAAAAAAAAAAAAAAAGTCAAAATGAATGGATACAAAAAAGCACAATGTAACGAAACCCATTTATATAAGCACAGACGAAAAAGGTAAAATCATTTACTGAAGGATGTTATTTAACTTATTTACGTATTAAATGGGTTAAAAAATGAATAAAAAAACAGGTATAAAAAAAAGCGTTAACAGACTTGAAAAAGATGGATGACAGTCTTGTAAATATGATTAGAAAAGGTGACTTATTGTTAAGTGTGTTTTTTTAAAAGAGCTAAAGTGACAAGTGACAAACAAAGAGACTAGCATATGAAATAGAGTCTGTAATAGAGCCTGTAATAGCCTGTATTTAGCATTTCTCTTATAAGAATTTAAGTTAGTTCTATTGGTTTATGATTTGTTATCATGTCCCATGTCTTAGATCTTAACTTTTTTTTTTTTTTTGGGCATCATCAGGAGGTGATTATTCATGCACCATGGAGGTTCAACGAGCATTTCATATTTTAAAGAAAGCATATGGTGATAGCATGCACAAAGTATTGCATGTTGGCCCGAGACTTGTTCAGTAGTTTCTAAGTTGCTAAAAGAGGAAGAAACTGAAGCTTGGGGTGTGGAACCATACGACATAGAGGACGCAGATAGACACTGCATTGCAGAGCTCTTGTACAGAAAGGCATTGTGCAGCGTGTTGCTGATGTCAAGTTTCGGGGAAAAATCTTTTTCTCTTGTAATTGTTTCAGATACATTGGATTATCTATCTCCAAGATATCTCAACAAGACCCTCCCGGTTCTTGCAAGAGTATCAGCTGATGGCCTAGTAATCTTTACAGGTGAACAAATTTTACGTCTTGGCGGTCAGGCTTCATAAACATATGATGATCTTGCACTGAAGCCAAAGAGCACATCTTTTTCGGTGATCATAATATTTCTGTTTGAGTTTTTATATGCTTTAAATATGTCATTTCTGTTTGCTTTTGTTTTAGAAATATGTCTTTCAATGCCTTCGGATATCGTCCTTAATTAGTTGTGTTTACAGACAAACATGATATATGATTGTTTGACTCTACAATAACATCTTTTGATTTTTGCTATTTAATTCAGGCTATCCTGGTCATCGGAGAGCTAAAGTTGCAGAAGTCTCCAAATTTAGAAGGGCGGTAAGTGATTGTTCCTTTTAGTTTCATATTACTTTCTTTTGGTTGATTATGTTGTTGTTAAAAGACTAAAGAAGTGATATATGATTGTAAAACTAATATTTACGTCCATTTAGAGCCCTACAATCTCTCTGCATGAAAGAGATAGTGAGTGAGGGCGAGGGTGAAGAAGAGATATAGGAACTTGAGAGAGAGCCTTTTCAACTTCAAAATCCGTCCACATAAGTAACTAATTGATCGGTCCTGCAATTGAACATCCCGTTTGTCGAGATTCGTGAAGAGTTGTCAATAAAGCAGAATTTCACCAAGTTTGATTTATGTGGCCAGCTTTTCGTAATCTTTTCTTCTATTCGTCTCAACAAGTTAAAAGAAAATAACTTAGGTCTCGTTCACTTCGCGGATTTGAGTTTTCAATTTGAATTGAGATGTGACATTTTTTAAGAGCTTTTAATTATAGCAAAAAAAGTTATATGTGACATTTTTTGAGAACTTTTAATTATAAAAACTTAAAATTAAAAACACGAATCGGTAAAATAAACATGGTTTCAGTCTCAAGAATTTCAAGCTTGCTAGGCGTTTTGCTCCGGACTGAAAAGTACTTGTAAAATTTTTACTTTTAGTTATTCCATTGAAAACGTGATATTGATCACACATTTTCTTCCTTTAAAGGCTAAATTGAGGAGCTCATCACGGTGGGTCAAGTATTTTAGCCAGAATAACTTGGAGCAGAATGATTGAGATGATTTTTGAGGAGCAGAACTTTTAATTATATAGAAAA